TTTTAATAGTTATATATTAAATATGTTTTTAATAGTTATATATTATATATATATATATATATATATTTAATATATAACTATTAAAAACAATTAAAACCAAAGAAAAGATTACCATTAAATAAAATAGGTCGGGTCTTCATTGATTAAAATGTGACGAATTAACGATAATTGAAAACAATACTAATTTTAATTTCAATCATTTACGCGAGCACGGAATTTACGCGAGTACGCACGCGCGCAAATATTCGATTATATATGAATTCTTATACGCTGTCTATACTAAGTGATGTTAATTATAAAATATAGTTGTAAACCCAATTAAGTGTGTGAAATTAATATGCAATGTACGTAACACATATACTTTGCATGTGTTCATCGGGAAGATTATGAAACAAAATGGACGGTGTGTACCACGTGACTTTCGTAAACCAAGGAGCGGAATGTCGCAACTCTTTATATATATGGCTCTGCCTGGTCCAATTACATGGATAAGGATAATATATACACACAATTCAAGTTACTGGAAATGTTTCTATTACTGTACTTGTCATTGCAAAAAACGGTTTTTTATATCATACAATTTGTACCGGTATCACATGAATTTTTGTCCTCTTTGAATTAGGCCCCCGGGAAGAGAGCCCAGAATTCTGATGGGTTTCGTACAGAGGGGCGTATTTTTTTATATACAATTTGCACCGCGGCATCACATTGAATTTCTGTCCCTCTGTGAAGAATTCGCCCACACCCCCTCCTCCTTCTCTCTTCCCGTGAAGAGAGCCCCAAATTCTGAAGGATTACGTATAGAAGGGCGTGTAACGGTATCGGCATCACATGAATCTGTCCCCCTGTGAATTCATACCCCCCCCCCCACAACTTCGGGAAAAGATCCCCAAATTCTGATGGGTTACGTACAGAGGCGAGGCCGTCATAGTCTAGGGACAGCATATGCATAATTCTATAGAGTGGGACGTAACAAATATAGGCCTATTACTGATGATAATGATGGATTTTAATAATGATTTTTAATATTGATAATAATATCAAAGATATTATTAATACTACTATTATTATTATGATATTAATGATAATGATGATAATAAAAATAATAGTAATGATAATTATAATAATTGGTTTGATAAAATATGTAATTAATTTGTAAAAGTTATACACAAAATGTCGAAAAATAAATTAACTCATTAGTAATGCAAAACATATAATTATTTTATTGAGTAAATGTAAAACAATGCTACAAAAATTAATTAATACAATGAAGTACACAAGCTTAAAGGCTGTTTTTCACTACTCGAATTTATTCGCTCGAATCGAAAGTGTCGATTCATGCACATGCGCATTCACATCTCTATCTGAGTTTTTCGCTTCAGCGAATCGAAGTCAGTAGTTCGAACGTTTTCTACTTTTGCGAAGCGAAAACAAAATGCGGAACCAATCAGAGCTCAGGAAGCGAGCCGACGCGTTCAATTAGCGCTAAAATTCGTCTATTGTGGAAAATAGACTTAACAAGGTTTTACTGATTTTCCAATTTTAATTAGATTAATTGTGACATTTGTTGTTAAGTATAGACAATATGCGAAATATTATGTTCCATTAATAATGCGTTTAACAGAAGTCACGTTTTAAACATGTGTGTTCGTATAGGCGCTAACGCTAGGTTTTTATTGCTACAAATATGCAATGAAGGGCGTGATAATTCATCAATTCTTCTCAATCTTTCATTTTTTTGTTACTGAGAAATATATAATTTAAGGTTATTGGATCAACTGCAAATTATGCAACATAATCAACATTTTGAACATTACTGACCAATCAAAACAGACCAGAAAGAAATATGCGCATATCCCATCAGTACGCAAATTTCCGTAGGTTGAAGCTGTTTAAAGTGTGTTTTCCACTAGGCGAAATTTATTCGCGAGAATCGAAAGGTCGGTTCATGCACATGCGCATTCAGACTTCTACTAGAGTTCTCGCTTTAGAAAAATGCGCGACCAATCAGAGAGCGAACCGACGCTTTCGATTCGCGTGAATAAATTCGTCTAGTGGAAAACAGGCTTAAGATTCTACACCTTGGCAACAATATCCACGGGGCGAGACTTGGAAAGGTGCATAATATTTAAGCGCATGCGTAAACTATACAAATCGAGTTTGTTGTGTGACTAACTGTCCTCAGTTTTGTTGTCATACATCACAAAGTGAGATTGCGTACGCGCTAAGCTAAATCTAATACTTAACATTCATTTATACGTAACAAATTCATCAACCCCTTTAACAATAATATTTTGTGTACATATATCTACATAATTAAAAAAAATCGACCAAGTAAAGATTATATATGCTGAAATAATATGGAAGCATACATTACGAGTATGCATTAAGTAAAATATACTAAAATTATTGAAAATATATCATTTAAACATTGTGTCGCCTCAAACGACTGAATATGATTCCTGTCATGTGCTAAGCCAATAAATATGATTAAATAGGAATTTAATTACCAACTTTATATACTTTATATGCAATTACAGTACAAGCTCTCAAACAAAAGCTCTATATAACATTTGAAGTTTTTGTAGAAAAAATGTCACTATCAAGGTATAAGATTGTAAGTACTATTTAGGAACAGTCGGTTGGTTCAATAACTAACAAAACTATAGGCCTACGTGGTTTGTTTTTTTTCATTCAAATATGTCTTAATTAAAATCGTCCGAAATATTGATATTGAATAAATGAAAAATATAATAATAATAAATAATAATAATTTTAGCCAATTTCCAGTTGGAATTAATTAAAATGTGGAATTGTATGTGAGAGTGCCAGAGTACGCATCAAAGAGACATCAAATTCTACTAAGCTATCACAGACAGTCGTGACCATATTAAGAAAGCTTTGATCACCATAATGACGACTTTTCTGGGTTTTCAATCAAACTTAAAAATCAGAAGGTGCTAGGTGCTAGATAAATAAATAACATAATACCGGAGTAAAGTTTGTCAAATTTGCAGAACTCTATTCGGAATTAAATCCTATACCAGAGAGAATGAAAATTAAAATGCAACTTAAAAATATTATTGGAGGAAACTATGGTTTAAGATGAGGCTTAAATATGTGCTAGAATTCAGAAGTTTATATTTATATAAATATTCTGATCTTTAATTATTTATGGGGAAGTGGGTTAGGGTTTTTATTTTATTGAATATCCCACCGGAAATAAATATGTCTGGCTTTTGTGAATTAATTACGTTATGTAGTTGTTTTTACTAAATTGAAAGTAAGTCATCATTTTATCAGAACTTTTAAAAGTCTTAAGATTTGAGGCTGATTCCGCAAAATTGAAGGAAATCATTTTTGCCGAAAACTGAGTGAGTGCGCAATATAAAGAAGTTACTTGCATTTTTGATAACATTCACCATCTGTAAATAAAATGAAGTAAATAATTAATTATTTTATATTTTAAAAAGTGTTCATAATAATCTAGTGTAGTCTTTTAATGATTGTTATCACTATGAACATCACTATCATTTTTACATATAACCTGCAGCTATAAACATTGTTAATTAAAATGGTATACACTATTATCATTATTACTGTACTATACTATAATATATATTAGTACTATAATAATTGCTGCGACTAAAGGTAACGTCAAATAGTTGCACGGTACGAGTATAACATGGTTAGCCATTGAAAAGTTTGATATACCAATATAACAATTTTACAACACCATCTTTTTACAAAGAAAAAAATACACTCGAAATTAACTCATTATAATTAATATTATTTTATTAAAAACCTACTTAGTATTTGTATGGTCCTGGTGGATATCCGTGTCCGTATCCTGGCTGGGGATATGGGTTTCCCTATAAAAAATAAAAAAAAGTGCATCGAGCATGTCAAAATATGTATTAGTGCATGTATGTACTGAATAAACAATATGTTTGTAACTTCCATTAACTTCAGGTCTAAAATAACTTTGAATACATACATCGTGGCGCCAGGAAGTGGGATTCGATGTCCCGGACGGGAAGGCTGAACTCCCTACAGCTTTGTTTCCACACAATCGCTACACGTTATGGCAGATAGCTTTCGGTGATCTGATTGGTCGGTCGAAGGGGACTGCAACGCAGTACAAGGATTGAACTGAAAGCACTGTAGCGATTTTAAGGAAAGCAGGCTTGAGCATAAATGGGCTGGGCCAGGGGAAGTCCGTACCCCTGAGAAGGGTCCAGAGGGCGACTATGTTTCCCTCTGCACTTCCCCACCACCACTGCCCCTCCACTTTACAAAATACTGTACAACATTTTTCTATTACTTACGCCAAGTGGATCAAGTGCGATACAGCACTCTGTGAAAACAGCGATGATTGATAGTATCAGTAAGCTACAGTAGATGACCATTAGGACAGAGTACACTTGATCTACATACTGCCATTCATCCGCTGTGTTGTTCAGGTAGTCATACACATCATACGTGACCAGGGCAATTGTGGTGCCAATAATGATGATTATGATAAGGTTAGCTACCATTGCTATCCAAGCCGTCTTATTATAAGAAAATGCATAAGTCAAATTAGAATTTAGGGAATAGTTATAATTGGTATCTATATCATCATCTTCAACATCATCATAATCATCATCATTATCTCATCATTGTTATCACCAACAACAAAATCATCATTATCACAATGATAATAATAATAATAATAATAATAATTAATAATAATATTAATAATAATAATATTTAATAATAATAATATTTAATAATAATAATAATTAATTATTATTATTATTATTATCATCATCATCAATGTTATTATTATTATCAATATTATTGTTTTATTATTATTATCGTTATTATCATTATTATCATACCATATATTATCTTATCTATTATCATTATAATATTATAGTATATTATAATATTTATTATCACCATTAATATTATTACTATCAACATTATTATATTATTTTTATTATTATTTTTATTATTATCATCATCATCATCGTTATTATAATTATCATTTATTATTATTATTATCATTATTATTATTATCGTTATTACCATTATTATCATTATCATCATTATTATCATACCGTGTTATATTATCATTATAGTATATTAAGTATTTATAGTGCTATTAGTAGTTTTCTTTATTGTAATTAATATTATTATTTTTTCTTCTTTTTTTTTCTTTTGGTTCATATTTAGGCCTTAGGCCTATTATTGTCTTTACTATAACTTTTACGTCTACAGTAGGCATGTGTATTGAGGAATGTATTTTTAATTTCATTGTCCAATTAAAAATTAGACAGAAAAATAACTAGTAATACAAGAAAATGTTATAATTACCGATCTTTGACTTCTTTTTCCGGACATCTGAATGCCAGACAAAACATTGCCGACTCCGACAGCAAAAACCTAATGTTAAAAGTTAATTCAAACAGAAATTAAAATAATAATAAACAGAATGTAAATTTTGTTTAGGCAACCAGTATTTCTATGCGACATATCATATAAATTATATCTTAAAAATTAACGAAATGGTATCTACACATAAATATATAGAACATAGCATACTCCTATCATTAGAGCTAAGTGATGGCCCAAATTATTCCTACTTTTTGTACTTAAGACCCCGGTCCAAATCCAGTAGCGTCGGGTCCTAATTAGAGTCAAATATTGCCCTGATCTTTGGATAATGCTCTCGACAATGTATGCGTTGGTACTGAGACGCATTGGCCACCGAGGGTCCGAGGGTCCAGGGGTGTATCCAGCCACAATCCCACATTAGTAATGACAAAAATATAATCAACTTAAAAAAAACAAAAATGAAATCAAAATCATAATTTGTTTCATTTTACATCACTTATAGGGAATAAAAAATGTAATAATTGTCATAATGATCATCATCATTATCATGGTAATGAAGTTGAAACTGATGTTTAAGAGTAAGAAAATTGTGACCGTGAGTAATTAATGAACATGATTACAAAAGATGATAAAGAAAACGAGGACGATGGTGACTACGATGGTGTTGATCGTGATGACGTTGATGACGACGACGACGACGAGAGAGATGATTATAACGACCACGATGAAAATGATGCTGACGGATGACAATATAAGATGATGATAATAATGTTGTTGATTAAGTTTAATGATGATAATTATGATGATAATGTTGATTGCGTGTGAACTGCAAAGACAGTCAATCTGTAAACGTGTCTATATTTACCATTAGTCCGGTGTAGCAAACAATTGGTGAAATACCGTGGTCAATGGTGGAAGTCGTTAAGTAATTAAGTAGTTGCATGCCTATTAAAACTAACAGCATGCCACTTATGGTCATCACGGCACCTGTAAACAGGGTGAATGTCTGACGAAACGACAACTTCATCTTTTTGGTTGGATAAGGAGGCAGCGAGAAGTTTCTGAAATAAATATACATATAAGAGAGATTTAAGGCCAGTTAAACAAAAAAAAAGTAGTTTCTCGTCCTAATATTTTGAAAAAAAAATGAGATTGAGGGCAGTTTTTTTCCCTCTGAGATGGCAAATCCAAGATGGTCGATGGGAAACAGCTACTACTTTCTCACTATCAGACGTGATTCATACCATAAATGTATCCCCAACCACGAACCGTATCGAGAGAGGAATTTCACTGATGCGAGTTAGCCAGATTTTTGTATATTTCGGGAAAAATGGAGGGGTTATAGAGAAAATGGACATGCGAGGGGACGAAAAACTAGTATTTTATCTTTATTTGACCTAAATATCGTAATCATAATATAAGAGGAATGTTTTTTCCCTACCTGACGTGATTATCGCACTCAGTGCTCAGTAGGCGGCCTAAGTTCCCAAATACTTACGAAACAATCTCGCAAGTGATTCGGGTGGGAATCAAACCATCAAACCAACGACCTCCAGATAACTAGTCTGATGTCTTTAAAAATAATCGGCTTTTATGGGCCCTAATAAACGAACATTTTGTTGTTTCCGTTTACTTCCGTCAAACTTCGTTTCATTCATGTTATTATTCAATACGAATGTCAGATTCAAATACGGAAATATGAATATTTTAAACAAAAGCACAAGAGGAAAAGAAAAAAATCGTTGTAGAAACCAAAATACTACACATTTTTATTTGATTTATTGTAGCGAAAGGCATTTGTTATCCTCCTCTCTATTATTATAGCAATTGTTAGGAGGGACACACAAATAACAAATACTCTAGGTCACAAATAGCAGAAAAGATTCCAATCGTTAATGTAAATACAAAGGCAACTTAGACATATTTTCTTACCGTTTATCCTGATACATTTCTTTGCTGCCAATTTAGCCTATATTAACAAAAATGTGATTGGCCTATGGCTGAGAGTTGTTCTAGGCTTTTTACAGTAACCATTGAGCAACAATGACGCCAAAACAATACCCAAACCATTTAAACCCTTGTTATGCATATTTTACGCCAGTAGCCAGTATTCATCCATGGACCTCGCCTTATTGATAAGAAAAGCTTAACAATGAGTTAAAACCACTAAAGAAAGACGAACAAACAGAGTGGCATAGGCCAATACGGCACGAACACTCACTACTTGGGGTTACAGTGGAGTAAAACCCGGCAGCAACACATATCCCATTGAATTCAATTGTAGTCGAGTGTCCGAAGGCCCCAACCTCCTTAGAACACCCAACACTATGTTTGCAAGCCTGTAAAAGGCACAAAACCAGCAAATTGAAATAGTTCCTGGTCATGAATGTATTATGTACAGCAACATCCACGACAACATATTCATACACTTCTGTATACAATACTTAGAAACTAACATTTAAATGGTAACGTGAAGTCAAGGGCTACTAGAATTCACAGGAAAATGTGTATCATCTTTTTTAGAAAGTCACCGAGCACGGAGATTATGGTGCACTTAAATAACAATGTATAAGCATGTACGATGGTCAAAAATATTCTTTGAAAATAAAGTTGACTCTATGGTTTAATTAATAGCAGTCACACAATATAATAATATAATATAATAATATAATATATAATATAATAATAATAATATAATAATTTCGAATAGTATTGTCATTTTTTTCAACCTTAACATATATCTGTTAAAGTATGTATATATATATATATATATATATATATATATGGAAATATATACATATATATACATATATATACATATATATACATACATATATATATACAT